TTCCAGGACATGATTCTGTACTCTGATGATACTCTTAACTTGTGAAGCATGGATGGGCATTCACACAGACGTGGTCTCCTAGGATAGCGTATCATGCAGAGATCCAAAGGCCGTGTTGTCGGATAAAGAACCAGTGCAGTCCAGGGGCATTCTCTGCTCCACTTAAGATGGAGATGTTCTGTGTATTCTGATGGGTGATGTCGTTCTGTATGCTGTGTATATGTGTTGCTCTGATTGGTTGATAAATAAAGCTGTTTTGCCAATGGTGAGGCAGAATAAGGTTAGGTGGGGCATTCCAACTAGAGAGAGAGGAAGGAGACAGAGAGAGAGGAGATGAGACACTGCTAGCTACTGCCAAGAGAAGCAAGATGTAAAGGTACCTGTAAGCCACAAGCCACGTGGCAAGGTATAGATTTATAGAAATGGGTTAATTTAAGATATAAGAGCTAGCTAACAAGAAGCCTGCCATGGCCATAGTTTAAAAATAATATAAGCCTCTAAGCCTCTGTGTGTTCATTTGGGTCTGAGTGGCTGCGGAACCTTGGGGTTGTAGGAGCTGGGCGAGACCAGGAAAACTTTTAATTACAGTATTCCTTGTCCAACACAGTCCTCATTTTGTAAGACTACTTGGGGCTGGTATGCCTAAGGAACTGAAATGCTGATCTTGATAGATTATAATTAATTTTCAGATTTATAAGCCTACATGGCCCCACCAGACTGTAGTCCTGCACACCTTTAATCTCAGCACTTGGGAGGCAGAGGCAGGTAGATTCCTGTGAATTTGAGCAATGCAGAGAAAACCTGTCTTTAAAAAAAAAAAGAAGGACACCAGGCAGTGGTAGCATACGCCTTTAATCCCAGCAGAGGTAGGCAGATCTCTTTGAGTTCAAGGCAAGCCTGGTCTACAGATCGAGTTCCAGGACAGCCAAGGCTGTTACACAGAGAAACCCTGTCTCAGAAAACAAAGTCTGTTACCATATTGAACAGTCTTAGAGTCATTAGCTAGACAGGGTGGCCACTGGAGAACCTGACTGGCATCCCTGAGAAATCAGTAGGTAGAGATTCATCTGCTTTGCACCTGTGGGTGAGATGAGGCCTAAGTTTAAGGTCATAATTTGCTAATAGAGGCTGGCTAACTAAAACTGCAGCGACTGAGGAAAAATTGGAATGTTACAGTTCTACAGCCCAATTATAATTTATCTTTGGCAATCTTTAGCCTACCAAATGGTCATTCCTTGCCCGCCTCTGTGTCAGACCTAACATCCCAGTAAACAGGTGAAAACCTTTGAAATATAGTAACTTAAAAAAAAAAAAACCTATCCAACACCAATGGGGTAAGCATGGTGTCTGGAGCACCTGAGGTCTGCAGCTGTGATTCCCTGACTTGCTGTAACCACTTCTCTGATATTCCCATCCATGGGTTTTTTAAAATGTCTTGATTTATGACGTTCTTTGTTCTGTTAACCAAAATCTGCATCCTCATTGGAATATTGTGTTTGGGAAGACCCAAATCTATGTTCCCAGAACATGCTCACTCATATTTTAGCTCCAAAATAAACCACCTCTTATTCCCTTTTGAGTTGAGAGCTGTGTTTTTGTGTGGACACAGAAAAACAACAGCAGCAACAAAAGCAAAAGCAACCAGCCAACAAAAATTAAAAAAAACCACCACCACCACCACCACCACCACCACCACCACCACCACCACCATCACCACCACCACCACCACCACCTCCACCACCACCATCACCACCACCACCACCACACACCACCACACACCACCACCACCACCACCCACCACCACCACCACCACCACACACCACCACCATCACCACCACCACCACCACCATCACCACCACCATCACCACCACCACCACCACCACCACCTCCACCACCACCACCACCACCACCACCACCATCATCACCACCACCACCACCACCATCACCACCACCATCACCACCACCACCACCACCACCACCACCACCATCATCACCACCACCACCACCACCATCACCACCACCATCACCACCACCACCACCACCACCACCTCCACCACCACCACCACCACCATCATCACCACCACCACCACCACCACCACCACCACCACCATCACCACCACCATCATCACCACCACCACCAACAACAATAGAAAAGGAGAATGAGGAGGAGAAGCTGGATGTGGCGATACATATCTGTAATTACAGAACTCAGGAAGCTGAAACAGGAGAATTGCCATGAGTTTAAGGCCAATTCAGGCTTCAAAGTGAGACTTTGTCTCAGCAAATGAACATAAATAAATAGGTAAGAGTAAAAATATGAAAGTTCCACGTCTCAGCCTCCTCAGTGCTGAGATTACTTTCTTACATAAGACAGAAACATCATAATCATTTTCTCCATATTTGCATTTTTCTGGGTGTGGTATGACTTAAGGACACAAGCAAAGTTGGACACGTGGCACATGCCTGTGATTCCAGCTCTCTGGAATTGGAGGAAGGAGAAAGTGGAGTTCAAGGCTAGCCTCAGCTACATAGTGAGTTCAAGGCTAGCCTGGCCAATTAAGACCCTGTCTCAAAACAAAAACAAAAAAAACCCCAACAACCCCAAACCAACCAACCAGACAAATCAGAGTATAAGCACTAAGCAAAATGCCTAGTTCAAATCCTAGCCGAACCTAGTTCTGCCTCGAAATATGCTATGTCTGCCTTCAGTTAGGTCACAGGCCAAGCCTAACTTCTCTATGGGTAATGAAGGGGTACACAGCACCCCTCTATGGGTAATGTAGGGGTACACAGCACCCCTCTATGAGTAATGCCGGGGGTACACAGAACCCCTACACAGAACCCTCTATGGGTAATGCAGGGGTATGCAACACCCCTCTGTGGGTAATACAAGGGTACACAGCACCCCTCTATGGGTAATACAAGGGTACACAGAACTCCTCTATGGGTAATACAAGGGTATACAGCACCCCTCCATGGGTAATGTGGGGGTACATAGCACTCCTCTATGGGTAATGTGGGTATACATAGCATTCCTCTATGGGTAATGTGGGGATATGTAGCACCTCCCTCGAGGGGTACTGGTGAGGATTAAGTTAAACAGCTATGTAGAGTGTCTCACCAGCCTCTGGCACATGCTCAGCAAAGCTAGCCATTCTATAAGGAGCACCTTGTGATGTCTTCCTACTTCGCACCTCTGTGTTCTGACATTTACTCCACTCTATTTTTGCTTATGAAGAAGGTATTCTCTCAGATCGCTAAATGTCAGAACATTCCCAAAGGAAATACACACCCATCAAGATAAAACGGTAGTGTTGCGGGTAGTTATTGTCTAGGTATTATTACAAGCATGCGTTTTGCACGCCTCCCCCAGGGTCTTAGTATGTAACCCTGGCTAATCTGGAAGTGGCTATGTAGACCAGGCTGGTCTCCAATAGAGATCTGCCTGCCTTTGCCTCCTGAGTTCTTGAATTAAATCTGTGGCCAACACACCCAGCTTCATTTTTGGTTTCCATACTGTGAAAGTATTTAGAATCATTACCAAAGCAAACGAGGACCCTGGTATTTTGTTGTGATCATTAAATTTCCTCTGGTTTCACCTCAAATGGCTCATTACAACAGAGGGCCAAATAAAAGTACTTAAACTCTAAATGTTGGCACAAAACACTTCCTAAGGCCCTGTGTTTGAAGACTTCTGCCACTTGACTGACACACTTAGTGCCCAGGGTCTGGCTATCTTAGACGTGGTTCGATAGGTTGTTGATCGAGGGATGTTCACAAAGCTCAACGGACTTCACAGGAAGGAAGGAGCAGTAGGTTCTTGGTTGCCGCTGATTTGTACTTTTAATTTTTGGACTCAAAACCAGCAGTGTATTAATAAGACCAGGCCTGGTGGTGGATGCCTGTAATCCAGCACTGGGGAAGTTGAGGCAGGCGTTTCCTGGCTAGTGCCACCCAGATTTGCATTCGGTCTTTTTGACAGTGAAGTTCAGGCTAGCCTTGAATTCACTGTCCTCCTGCCTCAGCCTCCGGATGCTAGGATTGCTGGCCCCGGGGCCAGCACAGCAGGCTGATCTATCTTTAAGGGAGCCATTGACATCTCTGGGCTATAAAGAGGTAAATGCTTACGGCATCTAAGACTTGGTGTACGGTTGATTCTATAATGTTCTTGGAAGTGTCCTTTGCGCTAAAATCCCTCGAAACCCCCACACTTCCACTTAGGTGGAGGGCTTTTGGCCTTATGGAATTTACAGCGGTAATTTTTAATGCGCTGTTCCCAGCGTTTACTTCATACTTAATAAAACAAGAGCTCAGAATATTCTTGGAATAGTTCATTTCCCAGGAAAACAGTTCACGTGTGAGTCAGCACTAAGGGAAAAATCCACTCACAATAGCTATCAAAATTGCATGAGGTGGTAAAATGAGGAATGCTTTTCTTTGTAAACTCTATCGATGAGGTAGAGAGAAAGCCCATTACTTATTTATAACGTGAGTGTGAGGTGGCAGGCTTTCTCCATCCAGCCCATCTAAGGAGGTGTTGCATCCTTAGCCTGCCAGGGTACCTAGCAATTCTCACCACCTTAAACGTGTCTTTCAGGAACAGAGAGGAAAATGGGGGTAGGACGCAGGAAGGAAGCAAAGGGCGTTCAAAGCCTGCTCTCTTGTCCTCGCCAGTCCTCCTGGGAAGTAATTGAGGGAGTTTCCTCAGGATGCTCCGTAGCAAGCCCCTCACGACTGGCCGGGAGGTGACTTCCCGACTTCTCCCGCGGGCAGCCCGGGGGGTGGGGGGGGTGGGGGTGGGGCAGATGAACCTGGGAAGTCGGACACCCGGGCGGGACCCAGTTGCTGGAGCAGACGCGGAAGCGTTTCCCGGGTGATCCTGGAGCCCCTGCGGGTTTCCGGAAGGGTGATTGCATCAGGTGTGGAGCGGGACACCTCCTCCTCCGCCCAACCTGGCGCCCACCGCGCCTGCGCGCCCCGCCCCGCCCGCCGCCGCCGCCGCCGCCGCCGCGCACTCCGGCGCGGGTTTTCCTGCGCATCGGAGTAGACAGCCTGGAGGGGGCAGGCGCGGTTCAACCCCGGAGCCCCAGGAGCCGGTGGCAGGGTGGGCTCTGGTCATCAGCAGGGAGAAGGCCAAAGTGGAAGGGGGCTGGCGTGGTAGCCTGCTGAGATCGCCGCGATGACGGACAGGCAGGGTGGGCTTGGGTTCATTTCCTCCTCTGTCTAGGCCTGAAGGACACAGAGTAGCATCTCAAGGCTTCTCTGCAGTTGGTTTTTCCCAAGTGGGTATTTGAACCCTGGCCTTCGACTGTCCGTGGTTCACAGGGCTCGTTAGGCCTCTGTTGGGCTGCAGAAGCTCGGTCCCAAGAGTGAACACTTGCATTGATTTATGGAGATTTTTCTATAGCAGTACGGTTGGCCTTCAGCTGAGACTGAGGGAAATATTGACCATAGAAGAGGCTGTGGGATGAAAGAGCCAGGAACTCCTCCAACACATGGCGGCCCTCCGTTCCCAACAGCTCAACTCTGAGCACGATCAGTTAGTTCTCTTTTACGCGTCAATACCTTGTGTATGGTTCTAGCACATTCCCTGTTGGAGATAGCAGAAATAGCATTTCATAGATGGATGTCAGTCACCCTGCTGGACTGTCACACCATGAAGGCAGAGGCTGGGATTTTTAATTTGCTTCTATTCCCGGGTCTAGTCGGAGAACTTATGGCGCCTCAGTAAACTCATAATGTATGAAGATGAAGAAAAAAGCCCACCTCCAGTGTAAGGAAGACGGTCTGAGTTCATTATCCGAAGGAGGAGTGGGTTGGAAAAGAGCCATTACTTAGTAGTTACAATTATTTTCAGAATTACCTTTCCAAAGGAGATGGTAGGTAGCACTGTCTCTGTGTATTTGAGAGTCCTCAAGACTAGCGCAGCCACACCAGCATCTGGGGTTTGTTACTTACAGGCGCTTTTGCGGCAGGACTCAACCACTCTGGGAGAGGGGCCTAGCATGCTGCTCTAGCAGCCTTCCCAGTGAGTCGGCCCCAGGCTCCAGTTTAACAACCCTTGGTTTGGTGAAGAACAAACTAAGGATGTCCAGACGCCTGCAGTAGGTCCACTTACTGGCTAACAAACCGGTAGCAAAGGAGATAATGCTTTTCCTTTTCACAGGTGTGCTTCTCGCCCGGCTTTATCTGGCTGTGATTTTCCAGTGCAGGAATGTTCGTGTGTGGCATATGTCTGGGCGTGGGGAATGAGGCGGCAGAAGGCAGGAGAAGGTTCACCTTCCAATGTTCAGCTCGCCCGGCCGGCTGTGGGCAGCTCTCATCTGGGAATATTTTTCCCATCTAAAGGAACGCAGACGTGTGGGAGACGAGTTCCTCCAACTGCCTTTTGGTGCAGACAGACGCCCCGGCCACCTGGAGGGAATACCCGGGCTGCCCCGCGCCCCCAGCTTCTGGGTGTCACCCTGGCGCCCCCTGCCCCCTTGCGGTGCGGCAGCCGGGGCCTCCTCCACCTGCAGGGGTCGCCCTGGGAGCGCGGCCCGCCCCCTTCCGCTGCGGCCTCCGCCCCCGGCCCCGCCTTGCTGGGTTCGCCGGCTCCGCCAGGCCCCTCCGATCCTTTCCTCGCGCAGCCGCCGCCAAAGCCTGGAGAAGTGGAATCTCGCCGCCGCTGCTCCCTGCGCGGGCCTCGCGGAGCCGCACTGGGCATGCTCAGTCGCCGGAGCCAGTGCTGCTCTAAGTAGGAAGCTCGCGTGCTGCAGCCCGCAGCTGATCCCGGCGCTCAGCGGACTGCGAGACCCTAGGAGCCGGAGCCGGAGCCGATCGAGCGTCGCACAGCACGGGTGAGCCCGGCTTCCCTCCATGCCTTCAGCCCGGGGATGGGGGGGCGGGGGGCGCGGGTTGGCCCAGAGTGTGGCGCGGGAGCCCGGCAGCCGGCGAGCCTGGCTGCTGGTGCTTCCGCGGCTGCCGCTGGGTTTCTGGCGGTCACCGCCGGCCGCCCAGCCGCAGCCCCAGCTGCAGCAGCTGCCGCTGCATCTGCAGCAGGCGCCCGCTGCGGAGTCCCGCGCACCCCGCGCCCGCGCCGCAGGGCCGGCGTTCTAGCTGCGGGCTCGCCCCGTCACTCCCAGTGCTCCTTCACTCCCATCCTCAGCTGGGGCTCGGCAGGGGAAGGGCGAGGACACTGGGTCGCAGGGCTGTGCCCAGGCGGAGACTACGGAGGGCAAAGTGCGGGTGGGCGCGGGCGACGAGCGGCGCACGCCCCCTTGCCCAGGAAGGAACTGGCCTGCCCACCCGGCGGCGCGCTCTTGCAGGAGACTCTGAGACCTGGCCAACGACTCCAGGGGTGCAGAGAGCCCAGCTACCCAGAGAGGAGAAGGGGGCAAAGTTCCTGTCTCTTCTGCAAAGCAGGGAGCGTTTTAACTAGAAAATGGCAGTGTGCCGAGGGCTGGATCAGGGAAGCCGGTCATCGGGGTCCCGAACGTCCCAGTGCTGCCCGCTGGGAGGAATGGTAGCTCCTACGCCAGAAATGACATTTGTGCGACGAAAACTAGCTGGGCGGAGGGAGGGATGCGGAGTCCCATAGAAACAATGAGAGGTGGTCCCTCCACATCGCTGGCGGAGAGGTCTGGAAACAGGAGGTCAGGCCCCAAAGGCCAAGGGAGTGTGGGGCTTTCAAGAAAAAAAAAAATGGAGACATCAGATGGAGAATTGGGACCGTTTTGGGAGCCAGGTTCCGCAGAGCCACAACTGTCCTGATCGCTTGGGGATGGACTGAGTGATTGGAGAGGGCTCACGTGGAGAGAATTAGGTCTGTGTCAGAAGCCCAGTGGGCTCTTAAAGGGGGCAGTTTAAAAAAGTCCTTTGCATTGCACCCAATGGATGACTTAAGTGAAAGTCATAAAAGAACATCATAAAATGATAACAGCAATATCATTTTAATTCCAAGAAATAAGAAACTTTGGGATGCTGTCCTTTTTGTTATTTGTTTCTTTTCATTAAATCATTTCACTGATTTAAGAATAAATTATAGCAGGTACTCAGTTGTTTTAGGTCTCTTAAATCTTTTTTTCTTTCCTGTCATGATATTACGGCTCCTTCCCTGAAATGGCATGGTAGACCTGAATTGGTGTGGCTGACCTTGCAGGAACAGGACACTCGAGGGACATTTCTTTATGAACTTAGGAACAGGCTTTGTCTTGTTTTATGTTTGTACCTTGAAAGCAGAATCTGCTCAACAGTTTCTCAGAATTCGGAGACTCTGAGCAGAATCTTAGAAATGGCATCTGTTTGGAAAGATGGTATTTGTCCTGAGGATGGGGACCCCCGCTCCCCCTAGGCAGGCAGAAATATGAGAACACGGGTGGCGGGAGTACAGAGTGGTCCCCTCTGTGGAGTGTGGGCGTGGGGGCCGGTGCCACGGGTGCAGGATGTCTACCACCGCCCTTCTGAACTTGATGGTAGATTGGTAGATGCCTTCAGAAAGTTCCCAGAAACAGAACGCCACACTTGCTCAGATCCTTTGAGAAAGGACTCAGGTTGAGACCCTTTTCTGCTGAAAGTGCTGATGTCCTCTTACACTGTTACTGCTTCCTCAAATGGATACTTTAAACTCTTCACCTTTAAGGTACCGGCTGAACCCTGCTTTCGGAAACTTCATCGAGTAGTGGTTGAAAAGCTTTGAGGATCTACAGTGTTACAGAGGAATTTTTTTTTCCGTTTAGTTTCAGTAATATGAACCCAGCCTACAACACTGTTTAGGCAAAGACAGATATTTCAAGAACTCATGTGTGCAAATAATATCTTAGAACAGTTATTTTGTATGTCATGTTTCTATTTTCTGAGGACTTTTCCTGCCAGAGGAGAAACAGCAAATCAACATTGTTACAACAGGAATCAACACTTGAAACCCTTCCCATGATTATTTGTGTTCTGTTGCTTACCCTGACTAGTGAATATCTAAATTTAATATAAGAGAAATGGAATCTTAATATCTTTTTGTTCCCCCCTACACCTTTAAGATGGATAATACCTTGGTGATATAACACCTTATGTATTCCAGAGACACACTACAGTGTTTTATGAGACTGACAGCTACTTACTATGGTAACAAGGCACCTAGGATGAGTTTTAGGAAAATGTTGTATTAAGTTATTACTGATTTTGTGGGAGATACTCTACTTCCCACGGTAAGGAAACTAGCATTTGGTCAATGGCCGTTACGCGACAAGACTGACATCAATCTCTTTTCATAGTGTCTGCATGTGATGTGTGTGCATGCATTTATGTGTATGTGTTTGCATGCGCTTGTCCTGTGCACATGTGATGGTCAGAGGACCCTTTGATGTAGAGCCTGGTACTTTCACCTTTTATGAGACCAAGTTTCTTGTTCATTGTTGGTTTCTATGTATGCCAGGCTAACTGGCCTGAGAGCCTTGGGGGATTATCCCGTCTCCATCTTTCATTACAGTAGGGATACTGTGTTACCATGCCTGGCTTTAATGAAGGTTCTGAGACTTAAACTCAGGTCTAATGATGTCTTGACATACATGTCACCTGCCCTCTAAGAAAACGCCTCTAAGAGGTGGAGACTTGTGAAATTTTCTCTCCTAGGAGACTATTTCAGTGTGTTCCATTATTATTCCCTAAGCATTCTGTTGCAAGACATCTTTGATTTGTTGCTTAGGACTGGGTTTGATTAGAATAGCACCTCTTCAAAATGAGGTGGATGCTTATAAGGCGCTTCCATTTGTACTTTAAAATTGTTTTGTGTTCATTTGTTTTCAGCAGGGCTGTAGTACTAGCAAATAGAATTAAATCTAGAGATGCTGAGCCCGAATTACCCATTTTGGAGTGTTATTAGTGCACATTCTGCGTGATGAGATGTGTTGATGGCATGTTTTACAGCTGTAATGGCTTGTCAGAGGCAAAGTGACAGCCCTATAATTAAGGGTCTGGTAGGATTTGACAGAAAGACCACCAACCAGGGCCTCCATAGACTTTGCTCGTGGGTCCTACTCTTCTGTTGCTCCAACTCACTCTGTGACTTGGAGAAGTCGGCTCACATCTTGAGGTCTCGGTTTCCCCGTTTGTAGAATGAGATTTGCGGTAGAATATGCCCTCTGCTTGGTTTCCTGAGTCCTTCTTGGCCTGGTCCAGAGGTCTAAAATACAGCCATTCAAGGAGGGAAGAATTCGTGTAGAGCATAGAGGCTGATTTTGTGCTTCTCGGAGCCTGTCCTGTCCCTGTTTGTCTAATATCCTTCCTTGGTCAGTTCCTGCCTCTCATTGAGTTTTTCCTTTGCCACAAAAGAGTTGTCATAAATGAACTCTGTGTCCTCACGTCCTTCTGGATAGGAGACAGAGCTGGGATTAGGCTTGGCTAACATGTGTTAGACTTTGGAAATTTTTGTAACATCTTCTGAAGAGAGACTTTCTGCTTTTAGACCCCCAGGTCATCTAAGAAGATCCTACCAGCGGCAGAGGAGGCATTCCGAGTCTTGGATGCTGGGATCTGTCTTGTAGGATTTTAGTGGTCTTTCCCATGTTTTATCCTTCACCGCTTGCCCTTAGTGAGAGTTGCAGCTCTTGGCCTTAGGAATTGATTGCCACTGTCATTTAATGTGAGCATCTTTACTGGCTTGTGCCGGTGTTTATGGTCGGCTGCTGCCGTAGCAGGAGGACCAGTTAGATGTTGATGGGATAGAGAGCATAGAGGACCAGTCCTGTTCTGGATTATATGTGCATTGCTTTCAGAATGCTCACAAATCTCAGCACCATTAGTCTTTAAGTGAGGCAGGAGAGGGTAGCCAGAGTTATTGCACCACTTTAAAAACAGCAAGGACAGGGACTCCAATGCCTCTGACCTTCACTGGGGGTCGGGATCCTGAACCCCTGTAAGAGCAAGCCTGGAACTGCACACCCAGGAAGAGAGCAATAAGAAGAGAAGGTAGGGAAGGAGGTAACTCATCACCATGGTGAGGACTAGGGAGCCTGCATCCAGTTAAAGGCATGGGAGGTCAGCACACTAACTCACGGGTTAACAACAAAAGACACAGACAGAAGAAAACAAAGTATTAAGGGGGAAAAAAATCCCAACGTATAATTTCCTGGTATATAAAATGTATAAAATGCATGAGTTCACAGAGACAAAGGAGAGAGAACATAGAGAAGAATAATGAGGTGGAAGCATGCATTAGAGGTTTCCTTTATGTTAATGAGCTGAGAAGGTTAGGAAGTTAGGCATCGTATCCCTTTCCCCTTGTGGATGCTGCAAGATTTTGCCTGCTGGGCAGTACCTGAAGTTTCTGAAGTTTAGCTCTCTTGGCAAGTATGCTTCAGGAATGCTTGGAGTGGGAGGAAGTGTGGCTTTGTTATTTTTAGTTGTCTAAAAAAAAATGCAGAGTTTTGAACTGAGCTAGAAGGAGGAGAGTGCATTTGGGAAGATGCAACTGGAGGGACTTTGCAGAGTTCTGGAGAGGAAGGGCGAGTTCCTTTGCCGGGGAAGGAAGGCTTGGCGTGACTGGTGGGCCAGGATGTAGCATTTCCAATCCACTACCCTACAAATCAGATCTTAATGCATATGCATTGTAAAAGTGAGTGTTTTGTGTGTATGCAAAGCACAGTGCAAGCCTGAGGGCTGAGAATCTGTCAGTGACATTGTCTTCGTGCCTCCTGCAAGGATGATGGTGATAGAGCTGGTATTTCATTGGCCTTCAGATGAGAAGAGGCGCTGCCCCTTTCTTTGAGATTATACCCTTCCAATTTGGGGGTAAGAATCTTTTGTGAAGGGATGGGAATATTTTCATTTGGCAGCTTAATGGTCCATGAAATTGCTAAGTCTGGGA